AATACATATAAATTCAGTGTCTGAACAGTCGAGCTTGATTAAATACGAATGGAATAAATATTTTTCTATGAGAGGACTAGAGGATTTGATTTGATTAGATGATGAATTTGTCGTGTAAATGAGGTGTGAGCTGAAAAGCTAGGAAGCACTGAACAGCTGTTTCGACGTGGTTGGGTCTCATCAGTAGTGCGAGTCCATCGCGCAACTGAGGATCGAACGCACAATACACAAAACATTCATCATCTAATCAAATCAGATCCTCCATCGCTCTCATATAACAAGTAGTCAGGTTGTGATTGTTTCCGACTGAGTCATAATCCTGGAGGCTAGTTTTGTGATGAGCTAGGTCCGTTACCCAGAACAAGGTCGCAAAAATGGATTGTGCTACATTGTGAGAATGAAAGATGAGAAACGGTTTGATCAGTGTCCTTGTGACCGAGTGGGCAGTATGCTTACGTTCTGCCTGTGAGGAACCGGATTCGAAACCCAGTTAGGGTGATGGACTCGCACTAATGATTCAGACCCAATCACGTCAAAACAGCTGTCCAGTGCTTCCCAGCCTCTCAGCTCATACCTCCTTTGCATGAAGAATTCAACATCAAATATCTTTCTGACAAAGATATTTATATTTAAAGAAAATAAACACATTATTTTGTATTATATTAGCGATGGCCAAAAAGACTTTCGACATTAACTTTGTAGTTGCTGTGTAAGAGTTTTGAATCCCCAGTCGATGGGTTTCAGATCGATTCCCGATGAGGTTACAAGAAGTGCTCACTGTTGATGAGTTTCGATAAAGACGAAACATTTCTGTTGTTCTGTTTCCCGGCTATCACATAATAATCTCCGTATTAATTGAAAATTGTATTATGAAAGGTAACCCACAATAATCGAGACTTTGGCTTATTAATAATACCTCAGCTGACAACACCGTAATAAAGCCGGAAACACACGCCTGTATAACACACCACATGGCGCAGTGATTTTCTTCTTTTGTTGTACACTACGACCAAAGCAAGATAGAACAAGATGATGGTGATGCGTGTTGCTCAGTGCCTGTGTGGAAAAATTAAGTGAACACATCAAAAAATAGTTTTAGATCGAAAAATATCACCATTGATATGCACAAAGTGGTAATGGGAAGAAATTTCTTTTGGATATGTTTCTTCATTCATTTACATATATAGGTTGATTGGTTAATTTAGTAATACAAGACCTAAGCTACTGTTGAATGTATGGGTTCGGTTGACAATAAGCTATAGGGTCATGAAAATCGATAAGGAAAAGCGGGTTAAATTGTTTGAACTGGATTCAATATGAAAGATGTTAGTCAAAAATGAATAAAACAGTAGTGAACGTGTGAGAAAGAAAGAGATTAAACGAGGAGGGGGAGAGAATGGAAATGGTGTCATATTTGAAATCTGGGCCATCACTCTTACGTCTATGGTAACAGTGGTGCTTGAACCAGATTACGTTACTTGCACAAACACGGTTTAATATTCTCAATACCAATAGTTTACGCGGTTTTCAAAATCTTCTTAAGTAATCCTTTGGTGTGGTTCTTGGGTACTGCGAAGAAACTTGTAAATGATGTTCCAGGGTCAATCCTGTTTCTGAAATGAGCTGTTCCAGCTGCTCACTGTTCCTTTCCGATAAGCGGCCGGACGGTGTTGGGCTATTCTCTTGGACAAAAGCCTCATTGTGTGTCCGATATAACGAGCACTACAAGTGCACATAAACTGATTTCGAACAAAAGATCAGGACTGATAAGGCAGCTTGTCCTTAAACACTGAGTAGCTTAGCCCTCGATGCGAGTCCTAATTGCGCCGCGGGAAGAGAGTTGGCAATGGCTTATGATGCCCAATGTTCCAGCATTTCTAATTTTCTGTATAATTTGAAAGGACCGTTCACAAACACATTCTTTCTAGCTATTCGCACTTTTCCACCGTTTGTTTTTGATTCCAGATGTCGGCAAATGAACGCCTCCTCTGTTTCTCCTGAAGATGTCCCTCGTCATTCAGAGTCTCCGGACTACAAAT